CTAAACATATTATAGGGAAAAAAATATTTTTTCCCCTATAATATGTTTAGAGCTTGAGCTGCAGAGCTGTCTGAGCTGTGTTACTCTGTGCTGCAATCCTTGCGCAGGTTGATCTCGGGCAGTTCCTGACCACCGACTTTGCCAACCAGTCTCCGGATTTTACGACAATGCTGGACAGGGTCCTGGATGCCGCATGTACCTTCAACGAGGAGACCCTGCCGGTACCGGAAGGCCCTGAGCCTGGAGGCGATGAGCTCCGGTTGGTGGGCTCGGAGCACGCACATTGCGATGTCGTCACCGTCGCCTCGTCCGATGCAATGCCCCGACCCAAGAACTGAGCGAGCTACTTGCATTCCAAGAGCTGCAGAGCTTCCTGAGCTTCCTGTGCTTGCTGAGCTTCCCGTGCTTCCTGTGCTGTGCTTGCCGAGGCCCGAGAGAAGACATCCCGGGAAAAGACAACGAGCATCTTCAGCTTTGTACCTTTGCAAACCCGCGCAATGATGGACTCTCTTGACTTTGGCCTCTTTTCACCGGCACCTCGCTTCGGCGAGCTGGCATACCAGAGCGTGCCTATCATCTGGGTGACCCTGGTCTCTTTGTGGCCTGGGCTCCTCTCCAGCTTCCTACAGATGATCTGGTGCGTGACGGTTCAGGAGGACGATGTGCTGGTGAGCCGCCTGCTGCCCAACCCTTCCGTCATTTGCTGGTCCGACGAGCACCTGGTTTCTGCTCGCTTCGCCATCGCTGGGCTCGTTCTTTGGTGCCTGGGCATACCGATTGCACTGGCCATCATCTTGCTGCGCCTCCCGGATAGTCCAGAGACAGGGCGCTAAAGTGCGCAGAAGACCTGAACCAAGCCGTGATGCGCAGGCGCTTCGGCTTTTTCTTCCAGGGCCTGGAGCGACAGTTTTGGTGGTGGGATCTTCTCGTCAAGCGCTTCGACGTGGCCTCAGATCGAACACCCACGAGTGGTGTCGTTTGTGGGATGTTGTGAAACAAGCGGGGCTTGTAGAGCATAGCAGCATAGTCAGCATACTAGGCTGTACTTTGTAAACCTGCGCTGCGCGACGCATTCGAGTACCTGAATTCCTATATGGCCGCATGCCCAAACAGTGCAGCCGAGGACTTGGCGCTAATGATGCTCGTCGCCTACACTTCCGCCGTGCCAGATCCAAAGGCCAAGCTCGCGCTCTTCCCCGTCCTCTCGGGATTTCAGGCAGAGCGGCAGAGCCGTGGAGTCTTTACTTCCTCAACCGATCTCAGCCCTGTGTTGAAGCAGAAACGGGGCTCGATTCGATAGGCGCAGATGCACGCGGAGAGACGGAGGAGAGGGCGGAACAACAACATGCGAGGGTGTGTGGACATACACACATACACACACACACACACCCACACACTCACACCCACAGGCATATACATGTATATGTGTGCATATGTATATATATATATATATGTATATACCCGTATACTTACACTCGTACGTCCATACACATACATACATACACACACACACACACCCACACACTCACACCCACATGCATACATATGTATGTGTATACATATATATATATATATAAGTACGTATATATATATATATATATATGTTTTCATACATACACTCATACATATGTACACACTGGGGTGGACATGTTCTTGCACGCGGATGTGTACATGTGTACACATATGTACAGTCATGCTTTTGCATATTGCTTCTTCTCTTCGCCCGTTTGCCTGCCTGTCTGTCTGTTAGTCTGTCTGTCTGTCTGTCTGTTTTTCAAAACCTGAGACTCTCAACATACACATGTCCTTATTTCAACACTGCTTCATGCACATACATTTACACGGAACATGTATAGATAAGCATGCATGCGCGAGTGCATGCATGCATGTATGCACGACTTTGTATCATTCCAGTTGCACTATCCTTCATGGTGTTACAAACTTGTGCAGCTGTACTTCGTTCTACTTTGACACTGCTCACCTGTGGATTGTGCGGTTGCTTTGCCATAAAGCATCTCATAATATGATGATGCGCTATGCCGCTATACCATGTGATGTGCACACGCAAGCACACGTGTGCAAATATGCATATAGAGACACGCATATGCATACACACACATCTATATAGCTATTTTGAATTGTAACTGTATGTATATATGATCCCGGTTCTC